TGTGTGTGTGTGTGTGTGTGTGTGTGTGTGTGTGTGTGTGTGTGTGTCCTTGTTTATGCTACTTTGTGAGGCCCATTTTTCCAACTTATACTGCATTGTGAGGACCAACTGCTCCTTATGGGGCCCAAAGCCCGGGCCCCATAAGAAGAAGTCCCGTTGGTGGGTTAGGGGCTAGGTTTAGGACTAAGGTGTGAATTGAGGATGTGTTAGGTTTAGGGTTAGGTATGTACTGGTAATGGTTAGGTTAAGGATAAAGGTCATGGTTAGGCTATAGAAATGAATGAAAAATGAATGGAAGTCAATGCAAAGGCCCCATAAAGATAGCAAAACAAACCTGTGTGTGTGTGTGGGGGGGGGGGGTCTCTGTGAGACTGCCCATGTTTACAGCCGTCTTCAGCCTTGTGTAATAGAAACTGACAGTCTGTCGTGATCTGCTGCTTCCAGGTCTGCAACTGAAACAGCTTGAAATGGTCTCAAACTGTTTTAAAAACCAGTTTGTGTCCCTTTTCAAAGCTTGCCCCTGAACATGGGTATTTATTTGATATGCAGTGTGGAAAAATGGTGAGTGTTGGTCTTTACAGTTAAAATAAACAAAATGGAGACAAAATCAACAAAACTAACTAAAAGCTGAATTTGGCATATGAAGACAAGCCTTTTTTAATTCAAGCTCTCTTTATATGGGAAAATGATTATTAAATAAAGTGAAATAATTAAAAAAAGTTAAAAGGTACACATTTTAAAAGTCACCGTGCACTGTTAACAGCTGAGTCAACCTGTTTGACATCAGGAGTTAAAATAGCATAAAATGTGCAAAAGTAATTTTACTGTAAATTAAAGAAAAAACTATGAACAGGGAATCCAACAAAGTTAAGTCGGCTCCTCTGAACGGTTTGTTTGTGTTGAAACGTTTCATCTTTCATCCAAAAGACTTCATCAGTCAGAGGAGCCACAACAAACTCAGCCTTATAAATAGCACCTTCTCATAGTGGGTCAATTGGAGCCATGGGATTTATCTACCTGGATTATTGAGCATGAACTTTGATGTTTTGAACCACTTTGGCCATGACTCAGAAGAGTTGGCAGGTGAGAGGGCAGACTCCAGAAACCATCAAACTGGTTGACCCACTATGTAGGGTGTTATTTATAAGACTGGGTTTGTTGTGGCTCCTTGGGCTGATGACGTCTTTTGGATGAAAGAAGAAACGTTTCAACAAAACAAAACCGTTCAGAGGACCTGACTTAACTTTGCTGGATGTATCTACCTGGATTATTGAGCATGAGCTTTGATATGAACAGGGAAACATTTTTCCTGTGAATGCTGAGTTGTTCTTACATAAACACGTCTTCAGGTCAGTTTGCTCACTGGGCTCTCTTCTTCCCCTGCAGGAAAGGGGGAAACAACAAGCTCATAAAGATTCATCACAACGATGGGAAGTATGGATTCTCAGAGCCTCTGACCTTCCTCTCTGTAATAGAGCTCATCAGTCATTACCGCCACGAGTCCCTGGCTCAGTACAACCCCAAGCTGGACACCAAGCTTCTGTACCCTGTTTCCAAATGCCAACAGGTTGGTGCTGCTGCGTATTATAACAAAACGTGTTGATTGTTGTTTAACCGTTCACTTAAAAATCACTCAAATCATTTACATTGTTGATCGTCCTAAATGTTACTTCGTGATTTTATTTATTAGTGTTTGCTTGTTGTGTGACTCAGCTGGTGAAGGAGAACAGCATAGAGGAGGTTGGGGAGAAAATGAAGGTGTATCATGAGCAGTACCAGGAGAAGAGCCTCGAGTACGACTCTCTGTATGAGGAATACACACGCACTTCACAGGTACGAGGGCTACACATACAGAAAGCACTCAGTCACATCACAAACTTCAGAGCATTTAAGAGTTTTTGTTCATGCTTGTGGACTAAATAAACTTAATACTATTCATTGTAAAAAGAACAAAACTAATAATTCTACTGCCAAATATTGAAGTAAAAAAAAATTACATTTTAAATGTTTTTTTAAAGTCATGGAGACAAAAAGGTAGAAAGGCTTGAATTCTTCAGGTATGGTCTTTATAAATGTAAGGTCAGTCCGATTTATTAAACAGTTTACAAATCAAATCTAAATGATGGCTCCTCGTCGTGGACCAATATATGTTTGTTTATAGTTAAACTATAGTTTAAAGTTTGTACTTTAGACTTATTTAAATGGAGTCTCTGAGAGGCTGTGCCTTTCCCACTAGAGTGACTGAAATTGGTCATGTGACTATCACAGCCAGCACGTGGATTGGCTCAAAAAAAAAAAATCATCAGTCAGAGTAGACAGCATCAGACACATGAGCAGACGACGAAATCGCCACCTGCTGTTGAGAAGGTACTGATTGAGTTTAGAGTTTTTCTATTAAGCAAGACTAGAGACTTAAGAAAATTTCAGGCCCAGTTTGAGATTTACATTATCACAAAGCTGGGTCACTTCCCAACTCAATCCAGTTCCTTTATGCAGCACCACTTCACAACAAAAAATGTCTGGAGGAACTGTAACAAAAATAAAGATCCATTCAAGGAGACTGAAATCTTGGAATACACCATGGTCACTTACATCACGGCCAGGCTCCTAAACACATTCTTGACCTTTTGGATCATTTAGCTCCATCTAGGACTCTGAGGTCTTCGAGTCAAATGTTATTGTCTGTACTCCGGACCCATTTTAAAACCCGTGGAGACCGCGCTTTTCAGGCGGTGGCTCCGTGGCTCTGGAACGCCCTCCCTCTGTCCCTACGCTGCACAAAAAACTAAAGACATTTTTATCCAGACAGGCTTTGACTTAATCTTATTTTTTGTTTGTTTTGTTTTAAATTGTCTTGCCTTTGTGAAGCACTTTGTGATTCATATGTCTGTGAAAGGTGCTATAGAAATAAAGTTTTACTTACTTATCATGAAATACCAATTATTGTTATCTACGTTCCTCCCCTCACCTCTGGTCACGAGCTCTGGGTAGTGACCGAAAGAACGAGATTGTGGATACAGGAGGTCTAAATGAGTTTTCTCCACAGGGTAGCTGGACTCTCCCTTAGAGACAGGGTGAAAAGTTCAGTTCTCCAGGAGTGACTCGGGTAAGGTGGTTCAGGCATCTGGTAAGGATGCTCCCTGGGCGCCTCCCTAGGGAGGTGCTTCGGGCGTGTCCAACTGGATAGAGCCTCAAGGGGAGATACAGGACATGCTGGAAAGGCTGTCTCTCAGTTGGCCTGGGAACACCTTGGAGTCCTCCCAGAAGAGCTGGAAGAGGAGGCTGTGGAAAGAGATGTCTGGACCTCAAGCTGCTGCCCCCGTGACCCGACTTCAGAACAAGTTGAAGATAATGGATGGATGGATGGATGGATGGATGGATGGATGGATGGATGGCCTGTAGGGTCGTCTTCTATATTCCCATTGTTTTCGATGACGACTCTTGGCGTCCTCTTGATGTTGCAGTTTCAAGCGCTCCATCCATGAGTGTGTGGTGATCCAGGTGGTGCACAAGTTTGTGTGTCTGGCCTGACGATCTCAAGCTACAGTTTGATCGACCAGTAGCTCGTGCTTGTTGTAGTGTTGGTGCCAGTTCCATTTGTGTTTTCTTCTGGTATTGACCCTTGGGCCTGTTTATATATTTTCTGCTCTGTTTTTTCTGAGCTGTGAAACAGATTTTTTTTGTCACAGCTTTCACATTTTTCCCTAAACAGAAAAAACGAGTGAGCGCTGTCCAGCAGAGGTGTTTCTGTAGTCTTAAAGATGCGTGGGTCTGTTGTGTTTGTGTTCAACAGGAGCTGCAGATGAAGCGCACAGCCATTGAAGCCTTCAGTGAGACCATCAAGATCTTTGAGGAGCAGTTTGAAACTCAGGAGCGGTACAGCAGAGAGTCTTTACAGCGATTTCAACGTGAGGGCAACGAGAAAGAAATTCAAAAGTATGTTTTGTGTCGTCCTTTTCCGTAACATAGTTTTATTTAACATCTTTTTCTTTGTCCATTTTAAAATATTTGATACAGTTGTTTTGATCATCTCAAATTAGGATTCAGAGCAACTCGGAGCGTTTGAGGTCTCGTGTGAAGGAGATTCATGACAGCAAGTGTAAACTGGAGCAGGACCTGAGGCAGCAGGTGTCTAACAACAGAGAGATCGATAAGAAGATGAACAGCCTGAAGCCCGATCTCATGCAACTTCGGAAGATCAGGGACCAGTACTTGATGTAAGCACGTTAAGATACTTTAATGCCTAAAATACCAAAAACATTTACTTTCAGGGACCCTCACTTAATTACAAACAACTCATGTACACTTCAAATACTTTTAGCGATACATATGTTTTGTTTTTGCTTTGAAGATGGTTGACACAAAAGGGGGCGAGACAGAAGAAAATCAACGAATGGCTGGGCATAAAAAACGATGGTGATGAGTAAGTGTCTGAATTCAGTTACTTATCCTGTAATGACCGAGTCCTTGTGTTTGTTGTGAATGACTCGAGCTGCAACTCTTCTGTCTTCAGCCCTTACTCACTGGAGGAGGATGAAGGCTCACCTCACCAGAGCGAGGGTACGTGGCATATGGGTGATATTAAACGCACCCAGGCTGAGGAAATGTTGATGGGCAAATGTGATGGAACCTTTCTCATCCGTGAGAGTCAGTCACAGAAAGGCTCCTACGCCTGCTCTGTAGTGTAAGTTTGTGTTTCTGTATTTTTATGATTCAGACAAAAAGTCTTATAAAAAGACACTGTTAAGAGAAATACACCTAGTATGTGTTATGTGTTATGTCTTAATTCTTTAATTTATTAATCTGCTATGAAAAATGAATGTATATATAGGCCTGTCACGATAAACAATAAATCAATTAATCACATGATAAATGAAAATTATCGACCTCATTTTCATTTATCAGTTTTATCGTTTCTTTGTGTCTCTCTCTTTCTACTGAAGACACTGGATGACAAAAGGCTCAACTCCGGTGTTCTTCACTGACCCCTCCCTTTCTCTTTAAAATCTATTTTAACCATCCAAAATCAAGTTTTTGGATCATTAAAAGCAACTAAGCACAGAAGCTACGCTACAAGCTAAGCTAACAGGCCGACCTCGGGGAAAAAAAACCTCCGTCTTGTCAAAGCTCCAAAATTCATGGTTAAAACCTGTGCCTTCATGTAAAAAGTTGTTTTTCTCTGTTAAAAGAAGCTAAAAACTTGTTTACTGATTTTTTTTTTAAATTAAAAGCTTTGTGTGAAAAATGCTATGCTAAAGAGCTCAAATCACACCGAGCATCTGCCAATTTGAGAACCAAATTGGCCTCTCCCATTTTTCTTAAAAAGACACGCTGCTCGCTCCCTCACTATCCATCCTTCAGCTCAAACAGTCTTATACTGCCATCAGGTGTTTAAAAAAGATACTACACTCAAAACAAATTAGTCAGGATTTCTTAAATTTAACAATAATTACTAATTATTGTCAAATTTAAAACAATATTATTGTTTATCGCAATCATTTCTGATACAATTAATCGCCCAGCAAAATTTGTTATTGTGACAGGCTATATCATGTTTTTTGGTCAGATATTTCTTATAAATTTGCACAATTAGTTTACAGTTCTGAAGACCTGAAGTTTCATGGTTGGGTTGCTTTGAGAAGCCTCCCTCTTCCTATAAGACATCATTGGAAGTATTCAAGCATAAACCACAAGACTTTTTGAACTGTCCCTTTTGGACATACAAGACCAAAGTTTTTTGTCCCCTGACACGGCGGGAAGAGTGAGCAATGGAAATACATCCATTGGTTCATGGTGTGAGCACGATAACTTGAAAGATAAGCAGCTTTCATTAAGCAACAACTTCCATTTTGGTGTGTAGCTGCATGTAGCTGTAAGACAGGTCCCTATCCTTAAGGAATAGTTCAAACTGTAGTTCAGACTGTTAGGCAGATGTTTTTATTGTTTTTTGTGGGAGATGAGTCCACAGCTGGTGTGAGGCCAGAGCCAACGTACCAAATAAAGTCATGTATGTCATATGAGAAAAATCTACTTCATATGTAATTTACAACAGCATTAAGTAAGAGACTCAGTCAGTTTCACTCTAATGCCTCTTTTCCATTAGTTCCATTAGTACCTTTAGTACCGGTACAGCACGGTTCAACTTGGCTCGGCACGGTAGGAGTTGTGTTTCCGTTTTACTTTCGGTAACGGTTCTAGTGGGCGGGTTCAGCTCGGACCCCACAAGAGCACGTGAGGCCGTGGCCAGGACCCTATCCTCACACGCTCCTGTGGGTTGGCAGCATGGAGGATCCTCCTCGGTGACCAGCAGCATTTGGAGCCGGGGAGATGACGACCTGCCCAGCCCGAGGGGGCTCCGAGGCTCCGGTAGAAAGGACTGAGGGGAGTCTGTGACCGGTGGAGATCCATCCAGCTTGCTCTGAATTTTGTCGTCAGTCACCAAGCACAAAAAACGCCTGCACTTCAGCATTAGACCACGGTGTTGTCATTATTGTTTTTAAAATCTTTAAAATAGATCCAGTCGCTCCTCGAGTTGAGTGATTGCAAATGGCAGATCTCGTTGTTGTGAAAGTTTCTCAAACAACCAGCGACTCCACCCCCAGACCAGTGACCGACAGTGTTCTGACGTCACGTTTTTGGGCCAGTTCGGCCCGGTTGGAACCACAGAGAAATGTGTACTCAAAAAGGGACCGGTTCCACAAACCGTTACTAGTGGAAAAGGGCCAAAATTCCCACCTTTACGCACATGACCATATCTCGATTTGTGAGCCAGGCCAATAAAGACCCCAACAACCCTCAGATGGCAGGGGAGTGAGATGAATCTGCACATGAATGTAGCTGCATAAACGTAGCATCTCGTGCAGTTTTGAATTGAAAAAGCTCCCCAGATGGAAAGCAACATGTATTTTATTATAGAGTAGAAGTTCAGTTGATTTGTTTTTAAACGTTTACCATAAGATACTGACTATTAATAACAACAGGGCTGAACACCACTTCCAATAGACCAAAATATTCTGATCAGAAAATGAAAAGCTGCAAGCAGCATTGAAGGCCCTCACAGCAAAACGCCGCTCTGGCCTTACGGCAACCGCGGGAGCTCTAGCGACTCCACCCAGTCACTACCGCGAACGCTCTCATGCCTATCCACGTGCACTTGTTCACCAGGTTGCACATTGGCCAAATCGTCAACATCACCTGCGACCACTTGTACTCCAGCAACGCCTCCCAGACGCCATCGTGAATGCTCTCATGTCATTCCCGCATGCGTCCACTAGGGTGCGCATATCCAGAATCTTTGAAATCACCGTCCAGCCATATCAGTATGAGTCCAGCTACAAGCCTTACAAGTTTGGCTAAAATCCGACCTTCCAGACAGAAGTTATTGTTACTTCCTGTTTTGTAGCAAATGTAAAGGATTTCCTTTAAGTTTTTCAACATGTCATATGTGGTAGTCAGCAGTTAGTGAATACGGTTTTAGTCTTATATCTTACACAGTGCCAAGCTGGAAGAGACACCCAATAATCATCAGTTTCTTTTCTGAGTGGGCCGGGCTTAAGTCAAGTCATGAATCAACACAACAATACCAATGTGTCTACAAGTGCTCACTGATGACGCACAAAAAATCTGGTTTAGATCAGATGATGTATCACTGAGATATAACTGTTGGAATAATCTAGGGTGCGCACTGGAGTCAAATGTTAAATAACAATATCAATGTGTCTAGAAG